ATATAAGAACATAAACGAAAGTTTGCTCGGTGGATTTATGGCAGAGGCAACATTTAAACAGAAGACTTCCTTGGTCAGAGTTCCGCTTTGTAGCCTCCTTCTTCATCAGTTCAAGAATCATGGTATGTTGAAGGTGTGAAAGTAACAAATGCTTAGGGTGAATCAATCGACAGGGTGAAACCGAAAAGATCTGGAGAGGACAGGAATGATGTCAGATCTCTGCTGGAATCCTCCCTCTTTCAAGTGGAGACCATCTGGACAATTTCTCCCTTGTCATTTCCTTCATTGAGGGCTTCTCTGCACCACTACCTTCCTGCTTATCAGTGTTTTAAGTAAAATAGTTTTGCATCTGACCAGCAGCATTTACACTGGAAACGTCTGTGGATCTTTAAGGCATCGCTGGAACGGAAGATTGTTGCCTTGTGTGGGCCAAGCTCTCCTGCCCTCTCATGACACTCTCCCTGCTGCCAGTTCCCTGTGATACCAAAGATAATAATTTGCCCAAATTACCCTCTTTTCCTCAGGCATTGAGAGGTGTGTATTTATGCATTCCTGCCCATGGCAATGCTAGGGCCAAGCCTCAGTCTTACACTTGTTGCTAGTTCCCTCTAAATGAGGAGGTGAATGCTGCCCTCCTTGAGCAGCTTGACAGGGTATCCAAGCAACATGTCCTGGTAGTAATGGGTGACTTCAACTCCCCCGATGTATGCTGGGAGACAAACTCTGCAAAGCATCCACACTCTCACACGTTCCTGACCTGTCTGGTTGATAACTTCCTTCATCAAATGGTGGAGGAAGCTATGAGGGGCTCAGCCATACTCGACTTAATATTGACCAAAAGGCAAGAGATGGTAGATGGGGTGAAGGTGGTGGGGACCTTAGGGAGATGTGACCATGTCCTGCTAGAATTCCTTTTGCTGTGGGGGGCCAAGGAAGTTCATAGCCACACGTGTATGTTAGATTTCAGTAGAGCAGACTTTAATAAGCTCAGAGGCTTGATGAGAATCATTCCATGGGCAGGACTGCTGGAAAGGAAAGGAGCAAGAGCTCTTACAACCTCAAGCCATTGTTATTCCAACAAGAAGGAAATATGGTAGGGGATCCAAGAAGCCAATGGAGGGTGAACAGAGAACTGTGTGATGTGCTAAGGAAGACAAGGGAAATGTTCAAGAAATGGAGGCGAAGACACACCACTAAAGAAGAGTATCTGGAGGTTGCTGGCACTGTAGGACAGCCATCAGAGAGGCCAAATTTGACAGTGAGCTAAAGCTAGCCAGGGAGGCTCGCTACAACAAGAACATTTTCAGATATGTGAGGAACGAACACAAGATAAAAGAGGTGATGGGCCCACTGTTGGGTGAAAATGGAGAAACTCTGACAGAGGACAGAGAGAAAGCAGAAAAGGCTCAATGCCTATTTTGCCTCCGTTTTTCCCCTGAAGAGGAGAACAGGCTCATCTAGAGATGGCAGTAGGCAAGGCACATCGTCCAGGCTGCTGGTTGACATAGACAGAGAGGTAGTTGAGAAGCACCTGGCTGCACTGAATGAATATAAATCCCCCAGGCCAGATGGCATGCACCCAAGAGTGCTCAAAGAACTTACTAGAGAGCTTGCAGGGCCTTTGTCCATCATCTTTCAGACCTCTTGGAGGACGAGAGATGTGTCACAAGACTGGAGGAGGGCAGATGTTATTCCAGTTTTTAAAAAAGGGAGGAGGGGTGGCCCAGGAAACTGCAGGCCAGTCAGTCTGACCTCTGTCCCAGGGAAGAGTCTGGAGCAGATTTTAAAGGGATCAGTCTGCAAGCATCTAAAGGATAACTTGGTGATCCAGGGAAATCAGCACGGAAATCAGCACGAATGATAAAAGGGTTGGAACACTTTCCCTATTAGGAAAGGTTAAAGCGCTTAGGGGCTCTTTAGCTTGGAGAAAAGACGACTGAGGGGTGACATGATCGAGGTTTATAAGATTATGCATGGGAAAGAGCAGGTAGAGAAAGAGGTACTTTTCTCCCTTTCTCACAATACAAGAACTCGTGGGCACTCCATGAAACTGCAGAGCGGTCGGGTTAGAACGGAGGACGTCCTTCTTCACCCAAAGAGTGATTAACACTTGGAATTCACTGCCACAGGAAGTGGTGGGTGCTACAAGCATGGATGGCTTCAAAAGGGAATTAGATAAGCATATGGAGCAGAGGTCCATCAGTGGCTATTAGCCACAAGGTATAGCTAGGGGCTCTGGGGCAAGTGATGCTCTGTCTTCTTGGTGCTTGGGGGGGTCAACAGTGGGAGGGCTTCTAATGTCCTGGCCCCACTGCTGGACCTCCTGATGGCACTGGTATTTCTGGCCACTGTGTGACACAGAGTGTTGGACTGGATGGGCCTTTGGCCTGATCCAACATTGGCGTCTCTTATGTTCTTATGTTCTTATGATTTGTCCCCAAAAGGTCCTGCCAGACCAACCTCATTTCCTTCTTTGATCGAGTGACAAGCTTATTGGATCGATGGAATGCTGTTGATGTTGTTTACCTGGATTTTAGTAAAGCTTTTAGGGTTCCCCATGATATTCTTATGGGTAAACTAGAGGACTGTGGACTGGACTCTAGGATGCTTAGGTGGACAGGGAACTGGTTGGAGAACTGGTTGGCATTTTATCTGAATGGAGGGAGGTGTCCAGTGGGGTGCCACAGGGCTCGTTTCTGGGCCCTGTACTACTACTACTACTTCATTTGAGGTGGGGCTGAGAGAGCTCTGACAGAAACTGCTCTTTTCAAGAGCACCTCTGAGAGAACTATGGCTTGCCCAAGGTCATCCAGCAGGTGCGAGTGAAGGAGTGGGGAATCAAACCCGGTTCTGTCAGATTAGAGTCTGCGCACTTAACCACGACACCAAACTGGCTCTCAACATAATAAGCATAATAAAATTATCACCATACACTAATAAAACGACCAGTTCAATTGGCAATCAACTCCTTTTTTTGCCAGCTGCAGAGGCATAGTATCTAAATCGCAAGAGGTCATCATAGTCCCTCTGTACACTGCATTGGTCAGGCTGCACCTGGAGCGTTGTGCACCGTTCTGGAGGCCTCACTTCAAAAAGGATGTGGACAGAATGGAGCAGGTGCAGAGGAGAGCGACGAGGATGATCGGGGGCCTGGAGACCAAGCCCTACGAAGAAAGGCTGAGGGATTTGAGAATGTTCATTCTGGAGAAGAGGAGGCTGAGAGGGGACATGATTGCTCTCTTTAAGTATTTGAAGGCCCGTCATGTAGGGGAGGGCAAGGAGCTGTTCGGGTTGGCAGCAGAGGAGAGGACCCACAAGAATGGGTTTAAATTAAGGGTGGGCTGGATATTAGGGAAAACTTTTCTACAGTCAGAGTTGTGCCACAGTGGAATCAGCTGCCCAGGGAGGTGGTGAGCTCCCTCTCTCTGGCTGTCTTTAAGCAGCGGCTGGACAAACACTTGTCAGGGATGCTCTAGGCTGATCCTGCATTGACGAGGGGGTTGGACTAGATGGCCTGTAGGACCCCTTCCCACTCTGTGATTCTACAGCTCTGTGGGATTTTTTAAAATCAGCTGCCACCACTCCAAATGGGTGTCTATAACGAATGCCTCCTTGGCATTTGGATTGTGCCTTAAAATTCTCCATATTCTCAAAGTATCAATTTGTCACTGTCATGAAGCATAGCACAGCATTTAGGGACATAGCTAAGTAGAAAAATTTAAATCCATAAGGCACTGTAATGCAATAGATAAAAACAGATTTGTTATCAGGAAGTCGAATCACTCAGAATTGAGATTTAAACAAAAAAAAAGGTGTTCTGTACCTGGCTTCAGTAGCAAAGTTTCTTTGCCCCAGAATGTGATAAAGGAACAAGACAAGATGTTCAGAGTAGTAATTGACTTCCATGCATTTTTTTTCTTGATACACTGGAATTTTTACATTTTGTAGCCATTAGGATCAAAGAGGTTCTTTTGACTGTGGAGCAGTCAGCAAGGAGAGGATTCTCCGGCAGGCTTGAGAGGTAAAAAGTAAAGGTAAAGGTTCCCTTGCTCGAAAGCCAGTCGAATCCGACTCTAGGGTTGCGGCGCTCATCTCCATTTCAAAGCCGAAGAGCCAGCGCTGTCCGAAGACGTTTCCGTGGTCATGTGGCCGGCATGACTAAACACCAAGGCGCACGGAACGCTGTTACCTTCCCACCGAAGTGGTCCCTGTTTATCTGCTTGCAATTTCTTGCTTTCGAACTGCTAGGTTGGCAGGAGCTGGAACTAGAGACAGGAGCTCACCCTGTCTTGCGGCACTCGGGTCTTGAACCGCTGAACTACTGACCTACTAAAGAACAAAAAATGATTGGAAGAGATAGCCTGGTCCCGGGCTGTTCTTTGCCAAATCAGATATCCAGTCCAGTAGTGATAGGCATTCCCACTATATGGATTTTTTTTTTATTTTGAAAAAACCTCAATGGGGAGGGAACCCAGGACTAAAGTGTATCTTTCTGCAAAACAGGGGCAACGCTCAGCTCTGCAAAAAAAGGAAAAAAACCCTAAAATAAATTAGGGGTTAACCCCCTCCCCGAAAGTAAAAACAGCCCATGCTTGTACATACATTGAGGGGGAGACCCTGATGTCTGGGTAGCATTTTGGGTTTCTGCTACGACCGCAAATGGTGGGTGACATTCCGTAGCCCTATCCAGGGGGTAAAAGCGGTGGAGTTGGGGCTGGGAGGCTGCAACGGGCAGGGGGAGAAGAGATGACTGCAAGGTGGGAGGGCACCTGGGGGGAGGAAGAACTGGGGGGGGGCTGGGAAAAGCAAGGGGGGGAGAAGGGGCAAGAAAACCAGAAGGGGCAGGGGGGGCTGCTCCTCCTGTGCCAGTCATCTTGACTCCACTGCTTGTTGTGTTCTAAAACAAATAATCTCACCTGCTCCGTACATACAGTGAGCCCCACCCCACCCTCCGTCAGTCTGTGTCAACCGCCTGACTTCCTGTTTCCCCCACTTGACAGATCATCAGCATCCTGACAGTCACAGCAAGCAATGTCTCAGGGATCTACTTCTGTATTGCTTCTAACAAGGTTGGCACAGACGAAAGAAGCATCAGGTTCTATGTCTCAGGTAAGACACCTGCGTGGCACCCATGGGGGGTTTCTTCACACGTTCGAGACCAAGACTCTGATTTGACATAGACGTGGACGTGTTCACGCATTGAGGGGGGGTCATGGTGGGTCATAATTCCTGCCAGGGGAAGTTTCTGGCCATGCACACCACATTCACATGCCTAACCTGTGTGGCACGCCAATACCCTTAATTTTTATTCACACGTGGGCCAGCCTGCGCAACCCAGGACTCAACAAGCGAAACTCAGACCGCCAGGCATGACATGGGGCCAGCAGGGGTGTGATAAACCTGCCTTACCCTGCCCCCCTCCCAGTCCTTTTGGCAGTCCCGGACTGGTTTCAAAACTTACCAGGCCCTTGGTGAGACACCAGACGTGGCTGGTGTGTAGCCTCCAAGTGGGACCAGCCTGTTCTCCTGACTATTTACAGTTTCTGTGTTCCCTCTGCCACACTGGAGCTCTTTGCAAACTGTTTTCTACGGACGCTTGAAGGGGAGAGATATCAGGGCAGTGGCCAAGGCATCCCGGAGTCTGGGGACTGGTCAGGTCTTGAGTCAATATAAATTAAAAACACTAAAATATTAAAATATTTACAAATTCCAATATAGATGAAGTAAAAATTAAATTTAACCGGTTAATTATGGTCCCTCCACTCTCTCCTGACACAAGTCAGTAGTCACGATCCCAGCCCTCTTCAGCTCCAGATGACTGAAGCGTGCCATGCTTTATTCACAGCTCTCCGGTTACGCTAGGTATGATTTAATACTGATAAAGCTATATCCTGTGCCCGTCCAGTGAGCTTGCTCCAAAAGTAACGGGCATTTGCTGCTTTAAAAAAATCACAAAAAGGGATCCTTTTAAAAATCACATTATTTGGCTGACCCTGGCCGCCTTGGAGAAAGGCAGCCTCCAGCCCTGTACTTTATCCTCACAACAGCCCTATGAGGTAGGTTTGGCTGAGCAAGACTGACTGGCCTACAGATACCCAGTCGGCTTCATGGCCAAGTTAGCGGGGGGGAGGGATGGCACAACAAGATACACCTTCAAGAGAAGATGCTCTCGAAGGCTTCCAGTGAAACCGATGGGCAATAGATTCAGGATGGATATAAGGAAATACTTCCTTTACGCAATGAGTGATTAAAACATGGAATTCACTGCCAGAGAGGATGTAGGGCACAGACAACTTTAAAAGGGGATATGCAGATTCATGGAGGAGAGGCTTGTTGCCAGGGGTCATTTCCTGCAGGAGTGCACAGGAGCGGAGCTCTGGCAGTAAAGAGCCCAGGGGGCAGGCACATGCAACAAGCCCCCCCCCCTGCTCCCAGCAGCCCTCAGTCAGAGCAAGAAGCAGCCAGGTAAGTTGCAGAGCCCCCCCCCATCCCACCTTCAGGTACAAGCTCTCCCTCCTCTGCGAGAACAGATCTGCACGTCCCCCCCCCATAGCCAGCAATCCAAAACAGTCCAGTGGAGGCTGAGTGGTGGGTGTTGCCTTCTGACACACTCCCGGTGATGTCAGGGGGGGTGGCATATGCAAATAAGTTCTGCTAATGAGCTCCTGCACCTCTTTTTCTACGAAATGACCCCTGGTTATGGCTACTATTCATGGTGGCCAAAGGGGAACCTCCATGTTCAGTCAGCTTCTGAATCCCAGTGCCAGGAGGCAGCATCAGGGGGATGCTGTTGTTTGCCCTCCAGATTCATTGGCTGGCCGCTGTGTGAGACAAAATGCCGGACTAGATGGACCAATGGTCTGATCCAGCGGGGCTCTTCTTATGGTCTTATGCACTGTTCTCTCTGAGACAAATATCTTGGCACTTTCCACTGCTTTAAAAACGCAGCCGTTGTGGACAGTGGAACATAACACTAAATAATGCTCTTTCAATCCACTTTCAGTGCACTTTGCAACTGGATTTTACTGTGTGGATTGGCAAAATCCACTTGTAAGCAGTCGCTGAAGTGGATTGAAACGGCATTATTTCGCATGTGTGGAAGCTCAGAATGTTGTCAGAACCCACGGAAGCTCAGAATGTCTACTTTCGCCCTCAGCAGTAGAACATCTGCCTTGCCTGGAGAACCACCCAGGCACACTCCCCTGGCATCTCCTGGTAAAAGGAGAATAGCTTCTCTCATCCTGAGATGTTGGAGAGCTGCTAGAGATGGACCGGTGGCTCAGTTCAGGATCCCCGTGCAGACGATAGGGTGTGCTTTATAGGCGACTGGGTGAGGGCGTGAGGACCCAGGAAGAATAATGAACAGTTTTATTTAAGAGGTCTAGTAACAACTGATTTTCAAATGATTTGTAGAATAATGAGGATAGGTAAGTTAAGAAACAAATAAAAGAACCCTAACGCGTCTATCTAGACTGTCCCTAGCTGTCTCTCCGGGACTGGCTTCAAACTGTCTCACCCCTTCTGGGATGGGGGAATCCCTCCGTCTGCAGCAGCCCAGTGGGAGCTTTCTTGGTGAGTGAAAGAGCTGATTTGTCCCTGTGTGATGGGGAGGGGGAGGTAACCAGCAGGCACAGTCTCCCCCCTCCACCAGTATTCATTGTCCACGTCATTTCCTGTGCAAAGGGCTAAGTCTCAGGCAACATGTTTCATAGGGGTGCAGCCCTTCCTGCCTTTGATGGGTGGATTAGTCAATTACAGCTTGAGGCTGGTGAATTGGTAGGGTCCATCAACAGGGGCTGATATTAATCAATTGGGCTTTAAGTTAAGGGGACACTTGCTTATGTTTTGAGGCTGTTTGCTTTTCTGAAAATGAAATGAAAGGGCAGTTGCTTCACTCAATGTTTTTTAACCTGTTGAGAGCACTACTGCTCAGTGAGATATCAAAATTATTTTTAAAAACCGGTTAGTAATGATGACAAGAACACGGCTCCTAGCTCTTGGGGGACTATAGGAGCAAGCCAGAAGGAAGGTCTCCTGCACAAACCTAGGGAAGCCAACCTTCAAGTGGCACCGGGAGATCTCCTGCTATTACAATTGATCCCTAGACGACCAAGATCAGTTCCCCTGGAGAAAAGGGCTGCTTTGGAGGGTGGACTCTGTGGCATTGTACCCTGCTGAGGCCCCTCCCCAAACTCTGCCTTCCCCACACCCCCACCCCAAATCTCCATATATTTTCCAGTCGAGAGCTGGCAACCCTACATGACAAATTCCATGGATAGAAACAGAAACCTGTCCTTGTGCAAGAGAATTTAGATGTTGCCCTTTGGGAAGAACTGGATATCTTCACGCAAAGCTTTTAAGCTTTTAAGAGTCACTTGATAAGACTTGGTGCCAAATTCTCAAAGAGGAGGCGTTTTGCAAACAGTTGCCCCAGGCAGTGTGCTCATTCCAGACATGTTTATGGGGACATGTAAAAGGGCCTGTGTTTTTTCAGATTGGCAAGTGGATTTCTCCGGTCCGTACTGACTGCAAGGAACCCAGCCACCCCTGGCAGGCTCAGCTGTGGAATGCGCAAAAGCACATCAGTTTTAAATTACGCAAAGCATTGTGTAAAGGACAGGAAATTAAAACCAATTAATTCCTTGTAAATACAAATGGAACCAGACTTCCTTTTGATTTATGCTGACAGTTTACCTTCCCGAACGGAGCACTTCTCCATTCCCGTTAGGGAATCCCAAGCCATTTCAAAGGACTAAGTTGTAATAAAAAACAAAGACAAGAGTACAGGGGCTGTTGACAGAAGAGAAAATGCCACATGGCATATATTTACAGGGGATTTTTGGAGCGGGGGGGGCAGGATTTTGCATCTGCTCAGAATAAGGATGCTAATTGCATTTATGTCCAGAGCATGTAAACAAAGTCATGCAAAATGCAAGCAAAATAAAAATGTATTCTCAAAGGTAAAATTTTCATCTTACAATGAAGTACGTAGAGAGACAAGTGCTTTTTCACGCACCAGTTACAGCCAGCTGAGTTTTCTTGAAAAAAATTGGAATATAATTGCAGAAATCCCAATGAAAGCACAAAATAAAGAAAGTAGCCTGGGCAGAAGGACAAAAAGAAACCCAGCTGGTGCTCCTAAGGTATGAACGTGTGTGCCTGTGATGTTTCAGGACTTGAGGGTAGGAAACTTCTTAGAAACGTTGGGTTGGAAATAAAATGACATGGCTTGTTAGGAGGTTAAGAACAGTAGGGGAAAAAACCTGCTGGTTCAGACCAGTGGTCCATCTTCAGTGGTCCATCTACGGTGGGGCAGTTAAGTAATTTTAGACTCTGGTCTAGGGTTGCCAACTCTGGGTTGATTAATTCCTGGAGGTTTGAGGGGGTGTGGATCCTGTGGAAGGCAGGGCTTGGGAGGAAAGGACCTCTGTGAGGTATAATGCCATAGAGACCACCCTCCAAAGCAGCCCTTTTCTCCAGGGGAACTGATCTCTGGTGTGTCCAGGGGAACTGATCAGTTCCACCTGCTGGTTTGCAACACTGTGCATAAGGAAAATGGGCATGAGAAATGGCACTGTACCAGGCCCCAAGGTGCTGTGGGAACCCGCCCTGCAAGTTTGTTAACAAAATATGGTCCATGCACGACATTGTAGACATAAAACTGAATTTTTGGTATGTGATGGGATCTGTGTGTTTGGGGGCTGTCTTATCAGGTAGTGCAGAGCCCAGATGGATCCCATTTGGGCCCTGGGCTGAGTCAGTCTGTGTGCAGAGGGTCTGAGTCCCGGGAAATTGATGGGGATAGAGAACAGAGGTAAGGAGGAAGCACAACATTTGGGAAAGACCAGGTAAAAGTCCTTGCCTCCCTCAAGAGAATTTGATCTCTTGTCCCCCCTGGAAAAAATACTTTGTGAAAACCCTAGTGAAATTGTAGGCTTGCCTGGCCCCTCCTACCACCTGGTGGGTGGAGGCGGAAGCCACCTACCAGCAGTGTGTGTGTGGGGGGGAGGCCTATGCTGGCATCACAGCAGCGCACACTGGAAGGGATGTCATTGTGTTGCCAGCATCATAGGACGCTCTGGTTAGGGGCCATGGCGGAGCGGTAGAGCATCTGCTTGGCATGCAGAAGGTCCCAGGTTCAATCCCCGGCATTTCCAGTTAAAAGGACCGGGCAGTAGGTGATGTGAAAGACCTCAGCCTGAGACCCTGGAGAGCTGTAAAGAGGGGCTGTGGCTCAGTGGAAGAGCCTCTGCTTGGCATGCAGAAGGTCCCCGGTTCAATCCCTGTCATTTCCAGTTAAAAGGACCGGGCAGTAGGTGATGTGAAAGACCTCAGCCTGAGACCCTGGAGAGCTGTAAAGAGGGGCTGTGGCTCAGTGGAAGAGCATCGGGTTGGCATGCAGAAGGTCCCAGGTTCAATCCCCGGCATTTCCAGTTAAAAGGACCGGGCAGTAGGTGATTTGAAAGACCTCAGCCTGAGACCATGGAGAGCTGTAAAGAGGGGCTGTGTCTCAGTGAAAGAGCATCTGCTTGGCATGCAGAAGGTCCCAGGTTCAATCCCTGGCATTTCCAGTTAAAAGGACCGGGCAGTAGGTGATGTGAAAGACCTCAGCCTGAGACCCTGGAGAGCTGTAAAGAGGGGCTGTGGCTCAGTGGCAGAGCATCTGCTTGGCATGCAGAAGGTCCCAGGTTCTATCCCCAGCATTTCCAATTAAAAGGACCAGGCAGGAAGTGATGGGAAGGACCTCTGCCTGAGACCCTGGAGAGTCAGTGACAGTAGTGACCTTGATGGGCCGGTGGTCTGATTCAGTAGAAAGCAGCTTCATGTGTTCATGTATTTGGGCAAAAACTCTATGATAGCTGCCTTTTTACCATACAGTGTCCCATGTCACAGGCAATAGGATGCCCTGTGTGCCCTGTTACCGACAACATGATGTAACTTCTGGTGCGCACCAGGAGTGCCATCACCAGTGACGGTTGCTGTTTGACTCCAGCCTGGGCTTCCCCCACAAAGAGTGAGGCCCCCTGCTGGCCAGCTGATTGGTGGCCGGGGGCAGCTGCTGGGGGCAGGGAATCCCCACCCCGGAAGGAGCCGGGCAGCCCTGGAGAAGAGATGCAGGCCATTCTTCAAGTTTTGATCTAAGTTGATGGACACAGTCTCTGTATCACCGAAAAACAGGGGAAAAGTGTGACAATATAACGCTAAACAATATTTTGTTGAAAAATCATCATAATAATACAATGTAGAAAAAGTGAACACTTTCCAATAATAAGTGTAGACGGTGGTCTCCGGAATGTCCTGCCGTTTCGACAATAATCTTCTTCAGAACAAAGATGAATAACCTTATCAAATACAACAAGGTAATTTTATTGACAATTGTATTGTAAAAGGAGTTATACATTAGTTCATAAATCTTACACAGTTATCTTGTATTGTTTAGCGTTATATTGTCACAGTTTTTTGCTGTTTTTCAGCATTCTTCAAGTGACAGTACACTTCCTGCCTCACAAAGACACTTAAGTAGACTCCCACGAAGGAGAGGATTTGTCTGTGTGGTACTAAAGAGGTGGAATCAGTCGAGCATGTAATGTTACACTGTCACTTCTATCAGGAAGCTCGTTCTGATATAATTTCCCCTCTACTTAATAATCTCTCAGGATGTTCCGATGCTTATATTTTAAAGAAACTTTTAATGGGTGCTAATCAACAGGTTACCATTAGCTGTGCCAATTTTTTTTCAGTAGCCTGTAGAATTCGTAGAGAAATTTCAAGTACAGATTCTAACTAATTGTAGCCAATAGATCAGACCAATTTTACTCTCTAATGATTTTACTGTAAAGCTTTTATTTTTGACTTGTACTGGTAGTTGGCCGAATAAAGAAACTGAAATATTGAAAGACGCTTATGAAACACAAAAGCTTAAGTACTCTTCTACCAAACTAGGACTGCTCAAATAAAAACCTTTTAGAGAGTATGCGCTGCTGTCGCATTGACACAGTCAAGACGGTTGATCATTGCACTAGCCGACTTGTTTATAGCTGCTGTTGGTGCATGCTTTGAATTGGGGGGGGGGGTAATATGATGCACTCGGAGGAACATTGCCCAGTTGCCTCACACCCCCGCCCTCCAAAAAACCAGTTCCAAATCAGAAGTGCAAGAATGTGCCTGTGCAAAGTATTTGTGATCTAATGTAGAACAGTTGATAAAAAATGAGTGTTTTTAATTATTATTATTTGGGAATTTCAGTTGCAGTTTGTGATCAAGTCAGAATTCAGACGGAGGGGAGTTCATACATAACTAGCGTAAAGGGAAAAAAGAGAATCCAGCCAGTGGTCTGTTCAGGTTCTCATTCTTTGTACTTTGGTTAGAAGTCCGGCCACTGGGAGGACAGCGAGCCTGGAGAAGAAGTGAGTGGGCTTCTACTCCTGAACACTTGCCTGCTCTCGTGGAACAAGTCCCTGGACTCTAAAAAACCAGAACCCGGCTCCCTCTTGGCTTTGGAAGAGGAGCTCGTGGTAACGGTGGTTCAAGCCTGACAGGGGAACGGGAACAGCACACTGACAGCACCTCAAAAAGGATATTATAGCATTGGAAAAAGTGCAGAAAAGGGCCAATAGAAAGATAAAGGGGTTCTCAGAAGTGCTACCTGTTCCACGCGCAGGGCCGGAGAGACAGGCACAGATCAGGAGTCTCAATGCGTGGATGAGACGATGGTGTAGGGGGGAAGGGTTCAGGTTTGTTAGGCACTGGGATTCTTTTTGGAACAAGAGGGAGCTGTACAGGCGAGACGGTCTCCACTTGTCCCGAGAAGGAACCAGGCTGCTGGCGCTTAAAATCAAAAAGGTGGCAGAGCAGTTTTTAAACTGAATATTGGGGGAAAGCCGACAGGAGATGAAAAGTCTCTGGTTCGGGTTGGCTCATCTCAGAGAGATGAGGGGGTACCTGTTGCTTTTCTACAGGGAGGTGGATTGAAATTGTCCACTGAGACCATGGCTAGTGACATGGACTGCCTGACAAGGTCTCGAGATTGCAAGAGGAAGGTGGCAGGCTTAACCAGTATGGGAAATTACAGCTGTTTCTATACAAATGCTCGAAGTGTCCGAGGTAAAATCGGGGAGTTGGAGTGCTTGGTGTCGGAGGGAAAAATAGACATTGTGGGTATTTCAGAAACTTGGTGGGATGAGGAAAATCAGTGGGATACGGTGATTCCCGGTTATATATTATATCGGAAGGATAGGGGGGGAAGAGTTGGAGGGGGGGTGGCTCTGTATGTTAGAGAGGGTATAAAGTCCAGAAAGATTAAGAAGCTAAGAGAATTGGAGTCACTTCTGGAAGTTCTGTGGGTTGAAATAGGGGGGACAAAAGGACACTTAACACTGGGAGTTTGTTATCGCCCACCAGATCAAAAGATAGAGGAGGATTAGTCAACAGACACCACACAATATGGCTGCTTTCCTGTACCCCCCCCAAAAAAAAATGTGTGCAGCATAATAGCCAGAAAAACAATCATTTTCTTGTATTTGCTAGTAGTGTTGATAACAACAACCCAACCAGGTAGGCCAGGCATTACCCCTTGCCTATATTCTTCATGGAAAGATGAGGTTCAGAGAAAATGGCACACTCTCTTGGCGAATGCATATTTCTGAACCCCTTTGTCAAGGTAGGAGCTGCGATGGCTCAAGTGGTTAAGACGCTGAACTGCAGGCTGTGGAAGGTCGGTAGTTCAGCAGTTCGAGACCCAGGGGTGCCGCATGACGGAGTGAGCTCCCGTCTCTAGTTACAGCTCCTGCCAACCTAGCAGTTCGAAAGCAAGAAATTGCAAGTAGATAAATAGGTACCACTTCGGTGGGAAGGTAACAGCGTTCCGTGCGCCTTGGTGTTTAGTCATGCCGGCCACATGACTACGGAAACGTCTTCGGACAGCGCTGGCTCTTCGGCTTGGAAACGGAGATGAGCACCGCAACCCTAGAGTCGGATTCGACTGGCTTTCGAGCAAGGGAACCTTTACCTTTACCTTGTCAAGGTAGCATGATGGCGTGGAGCGGCACTTGCAGGGAATGATCAGTGGGGCAGCAGGAGTGTTACTTTCATCCAGTCATCTCAATCGGCTGTTTCTTTAATCTTGTTTCTTGGGTGAGAGAGGAAGGATCATCTATAATTCAGGTCTGGCTATTCTAGGCAGAAACTCTTTACAGCTACTGAAGATTCATAAATAATTCCGGAGAGACAAGCATGTAACTCATCCAGCCAACAGAAGCATAAATAAAATATCTGGGGTGGGGGGAGAACACCTCGGGGTAAATATTTCAGTACCCTGCATAGAAACTTACATTCACAACGTCTGTTAACAACGGCAGGATTTGCAGTCAGGTCACGGGGCAAGACCCAAATATAACCCCTTTCCATCCCAGCGGGATCCACTTGTGTCACGATGCCGTCTCTGTAGCAAAACCTATAGGCTGTGATCAGACAGGCAGTTTGATCCGTCGCCGCTGCTGTTTCTTATGGATTTAAAATGCACAATCAGACAGCAACATCTGTATGTCGTGCCCCAGTTCTCTTGAGTCCTTTACTGCATGTTTCTTTGACACCTGTGAAAGTCCAGTCCTGTTGGTCTGAGCTGGTTCCAAAATGGATTTCCTGTTGTCTGATGGCTCTGTTGCGCATCCAAGCTGTCAGGCTGGTCTGACTGGTCTCTTGTTTTTTGGCTGCCATTTTGTTGTTGTTGTTGTTGTTTGCCCTATGATTTGAGAACTTGAATTTTGATATTGTTGGTATTTGAATAGCCTTGGAATTTGTATTTATGAATGGTGTATATGATATCAAATTAATTTTCATAGAATAGATGTTTTAGTAGCGTAAAGATCTTTGCTTAGGTAAAAACAATCTTTTTACACGCAGGTGTTTTCCTGATTAAATTTTCACTGTGTCTCACCATGTTTTGTATTATCCAACGAGAAAGCAAGCATGCCCTGATCTTCTCAGTTGCACATCAAGTCCTGTCTTGTGTGTCCTCTTCTGCTCCTCCAGATATGCCATCCAAACTTCAGACGGATCAGCAGATCACTGCGATCGTGGCGAGCAATGTTCAGATGACTTGCAAAGCCAACAAGTACCTCTACAACCACCTCTCTTGGTATGATCCCACCTCGCAGGCCATTCCTGTCGCCTTGACCCGGCAGAAGGTCGATAACTACTCCATTTCCTTGATGCTGGATATTCAGAATGTTTCGCAGGCCCATGCCGGGCTGTACAAGTGCAGAGCCCGAAGTCATCTGACCAGCACTGAGGAGCTGGAGAAAAGTACCTTGCTCCGCATCAAAGGTGAGTCTGGGAGACAGGTAGCAGGGGCAGATTGGGAGTTCAGGAGTCAACTGAGCCAAGCAGGGCCCCCTCCCCGGCACTGGGGGCCGCTCTGTTTGGCTTGATCCTGGTTGTTCAGCCAACAGCCCACCAGGGGGGCTTGCAGAATTTGAGATCCCCCCCCCACTGAATGCAGCTCACCGGCCAGGTCCCGCATATGCCAATATTTCACAGATGAAAAGGGAAATATGCTTGCAGCTAGGGTTACCAGCCTGCAAATGGGGCCCTAGGATCTCCCTGGATTACAACTGGCCCCAGACTAGAGAGAATAGTTGCCCTGGAGAACATGACTGCCTTGGAGGGTGGGTTCTATGCCCTCGTGCTCTGTTGAGGTCCCTTCCCTCCTCAGATCCTGTCCTCTCACGCTCCACCCCCCAAATCTCAAGGAATTTTCTAACCTGGAGTTGGCAGCACCCACATTTTCATATCAAGCAGAGGTCATTTTGGGGGGGATCGCGGGGGAACACAGTTCCCCCGGGTGAGGTGCGGGGGGCGGGGCCCACAACGAAGCCCCGCCCCCTGCTTCCAGCCGCCCTGCTTCCGACCCTCATTCAGCCAGGAGGAGGCAGGAGAAGAGGGAGGGTAAATTGCTTCCTCCCTGCCTCTCCCCACCCCTGCCTGCCTGGGGCCAGGGAGGGCCTTGGCGGGGCTTCCTCACACTCCTGCCGGCCTTGCAGGTCCACTGCCGGGCCTTATGATGTCAGGGGGTGTGGCATATGCTAATGAGTTATGCTAATGAATTCCCCTAGCTCTTTTTCTACGAAATGACCCCTGATATCAAGGATCACTGCTTAACTTGCTCGCACCACCACCACCACACACAACACCTTCCTGTAGGCTCTTCTCCTCTCTGCTGTGTTTACTTTGCAAATTGAGGCAAATAGAGGAAGGGAAGGTGATTGTAAGCCACTGCGATACTCCGATACTCCGGGTATAAAACCAACTCCTCCTCCTCCTCCTCCTCCTCCTCCTCTTCTTTTTCTTCTTTCCACTTAAACCTGCCTGATGGAGCAGCACGGATGGATTGAATAGCACTCAGTCAGGATGTGTGAGAATGTGCATGCGTGAAAAACTGGTTGCTCTGTATTGTACTGCCAGGAAAAAAACAGGGCGAAGCAACCTGCCCAACAGGCACAAGTGTACTGACACAAACCGATGAACAGTCCATCAAAGAATTGACTCCCTGTTCATGACTGGACAGGATGTCCACCAAACTGGTGGGTGTTTGAACGTGCCTACTGAAACGTATAAATGTATTGGGGGGGGGAGTTACTGATCCTCACGGTTGAAGAGAAGAAATACGGCAGTGGGATTTCCCAGAAACCAAGGCAAAGATAAGGAAACTCCAAATCTGTTCTGTTTTCACATCTTGCGATACTTAGCCTTATTTTATCATTTTCAGAGGAGTTCTGAGAAGTGGAAGCTAAAAGCCACATCATGTGTTCTTAGTTTGGTGAGCCATAAAAGACGCAACTGGCAGTTGTCAAGCTTCCTAATATATCAAAAAATAATTTCCTGGGAATGAAATTGTACACACTTCAACGCTAACATCTTTCTTGGCTCTAAATTAGTGAACAAGAATATTCAAGTGACATAAAAACAGCACTCTCCGGTTTCACAGACAATCTTAGGACCTCATGAGCTCACGCAAGGACGGCGCGCTGTACTTGCTTGCTCTCTGGTGTCCACCATGTTTATGGTAATTTGGGGGGGAACATGCAAATTAGATGCTTTCCCCCAGTTCATTATAAATCACCACAGAGCCTTTATAGCCAAATAAATTTCTCCAAGCCTGCTGAAGCTGCAAAACTATGATAACAGAAGTCAGAAGCAAACCCCTGCTGTGAAAACCACAAGGATAAAAACAAGAAATGCAAAGTCAGAAATGGAGCCACTTCTTAGCTGGCCGCTGGCTTTGCTTCAACTTGCTCTGGGTCAGGGAGTATTCTCCGGCAAAGCAAATGGAAATGCCGGTTTCAGGGGGATTTAGCTGTGACAGCACAGTCGTCTTGTCAGGATATTTTTATCTGCAACTGGGTTCCAGAAAACACTTCAGCTTGAAAGAGCCACCTCCGTCATTTGCTTAGCCTGCAAGATTTTAGCTGCATAGTGGGAAACATTGCAAAGGAGCTGACTCTTTCCTCTGTTAGAGGAAAGCCTTTAAATCATCCAGACGGCATCATCTGAAGCAGCAGTGTAGACGAGAAAATCCAGATGTAAGGCCAGTCCACAGTACTGGGCTGCCCCAACCAAAGGCAACACTTCTCTTGCTAGACGTGGCCCAGTATGGGGTGCCTGTCTCCTCCCGTGCCACACAGACCTTGGCATGAGCAGAGCAGAGTGCATCCGCACCTTCCTCATTGTGCCACGCCAAGCAGTCACTCGGGTAGCTTGACTGGAGGCCCAGCCCTGGTAGAATGAATAAGGAGGGTCCCATTTCTTCTGCCCATAGGGTAAAGAGGAACATTTTGACCTGGTGCCTGAAAGGAAGTAAAGTAGGTGCCAGACAAGACTTAAGGGGGAAGGCGTTATATAGGCAGGCATCAGTGCTGGAAGAACCCTGTCGCTGTTTGCCTCTGCTGAGAGGGAAGGCACACAGAGATCAGGGCTGAGAAGAAGATCTCGAATGGTAGGCTAGACTGTCAAGGAGTAGGCAGTGCTTCACTGACCCCCGACCCCAAGCCACTTAGGGCCTTATAGGTAAAAGAACCAGTGCTTTGAATTGTGCCCGGAAACAGAGAACAGCCAGTAGAGACCAAGAATATTTGGTGGAGAAGAAAATCAAATAAGAGAAGACCACCCCAGGCACCTGAGAACTTATGCCTCCTTCCCGACCTGCTTCTGTTCTGATTCTTTTCTTGTGCTGCAAATAAATGAATGACGAAGTGGACTAGAATGCAAATGTGCTTAAGGGGACACAAGACGCCTCCCCTCTGGAATGAATCAGAGTTGGCATTCCACAGTTACCTTCACTCCAGATTCTTACCAGGCAGAACCACCAACCTGTTTAACCACTCATCATCACCACCGCCATTTTGAGCCGAGGTCAGAGGCACCTCGTGGCCTGAGTGGAACGATAAGCCGCTGGGGGTGGCCTGGTGGTAGGAGGTGAGCCTCCTCTTGGCCTTGGGGGCCCTCTTGCAGGGGGGAGAGCCAGATGGCCTGAGCTTCAGAGGCAGCTCGTGGCCTGAGTGGAACGATAAGCCGCTGGGGGTGGCCTGGTGGTAGGAGGTGAGCCTCCTCTTGGCCTTGGCCTTGCCCTTGCTCCGGCTGCTCCGGTCTGGGGCCCTCTTGCAGGGGGGAGAGCCAGATGGCCTGAGCCGGCCATGGCCAAGGCCTGTTCAAAGCCTCCGTTGAAAGTGGCTTCTGGGCTGCATTTGTGGGATGGCGGAAACGGGTGAGTCTTTAGCATCCACTACAGCTCTGTGTCTTGGAATACAGGAGGACCAGCAGCTTTACTCTGCATACAATTGAAAGCAATGTTTCTGGAGGTTTCCTTTCATCTCACTGTTGGGAGGATGCAGTGTGTGCTATAGCAAAATATTTCCCATCTGTTTGGGTTCCTGTATTTC